AACTTTGTTTAGTTCGGAAGCCTACTCGATCGGTGTTCGCACATTTCTGAGTTAATATATATATATGTTGATGATTTCGAAACGACAAAGATCAATGAGTCCTCTATTTGCTGAAACTTAATCTTAAACCATTAAAAAGCCAGTAAAAATGCTGTTTTGGATCAAAAACGAATCATCTTTTTTAATGTTTAGCTACTTAAGGGTTATTTTGCACTAACTCCAAACTTCCTAATTACCTTCCACGAAACAATACTTTTAACCGTATCTCATTAAAGAAAGTTTTGTGCTCTATAATTTTAAAAATGGACGTTACCGTCTCGGAGGCTATAATAGGTTTCAGTAAGCTTGCAATAACTTCCATTAACTGTTTTGGAGTTGAGAACAATTCTGTAACAATTAAGTTGATCTACCACCATAGATACCTCTTTTCCTAGAATTTGGTTTTACAGGAACGGTTGTATAAGTTTGGTTTAGAATTATTTTATTATGTAATTTATTTGTTTAATTTAATTCTAGTGTAGGTTAGTTTTTAGTTAAGCTCATTTAGCTAAGTTGAACTTAGTTTAGTTATTTTAATGTATGGTAATTATTGAAGAGTATTTGTCTAACTTTGGCGGTATCCAACTGAACTAAACTTCACTAAAAATAAAAATAAAAGTACATTAATAAACTAAAAAATAAACTGGAAACTAAACTAAAACTAAAGTAGAGCTGATTAAACTGAAAGTAATCACGGAACTAGGGGTATCTAAGGCGGTAGACTACCTTAATTGTTACCAACAATTCAAATACGTCGGTCTTAAATAAGTACTCCCCAGGCCCGTTGGAGGTGTTAAAGGGTGCGAATAAGTATAAAATTTTAGTATAGCTAAGATGTGCGTCGAAAAAATCCCCAATCATTGCAAGGACAACTTGTATCGCAATCTTGTTTTAATGTGAATTTAAGACAGTGAACAGAAAAAGGAAGATTGCAACCGTACTATGCAATATTCAACCCACCAGCTTAAAACAAGTTAACTTACTCGCATCTGCTACTACTTTCTGGCTATGTCTCTGATGACGAATCCGCGGCGGATCTCGAAACGTCAGGCGAATAAAAGTACTGTCACAACGATCGAGTCGTCTTCTTCCCAATAAGTTAACTGTTGTCTACGGGGAACTCATGATTTAAACAAGATACCTGTTTCTTATGCAATGGAGGCAAAATTAAGTTTTCGTTGAATTTCCCCTGCCAATCATAGTGTCATGAGAACTTAGTAGGTCCAAAACAAATAAGAGCGGATTGGAGTGGCATGTTTTCGAGTACAAGCCAATAATAAAAACTGGATAATTTTATGAGATATCCCTGGTGCACAAGAGATTATTTTCAAAAAACAGTCGTTCCTATGTGCGTGATTCACTTGCCAGCAGGCAGGCTATTTCAATCTAACGCGCAGGAGTAATTTTGTGGACTAATCGATAAGTAGTCTTGCCACTTCCTGCCGGTTTGAGACGACGTGTGAACCAGTGGGCGTATACGCCCTGTTTAGCCCCGGGCTGAGTGGGCGGGTTTAGCAACCACACGCGGTAACTCTACGTAAGTGAAGTCATGTCGTTGTTTCGGCCAAGCGGGCAATTGAAGACTTTTTGACATACAGGTAGAAGCAAACTTAATTTAAATTTGGTTGCTGCTTCATTTCCATGTGCAATTTTAGTCCCACTGACCCCGCTCTCACTCCATCACCAGCAACGTGTACTTTTGGACACTCAGTGTCTGACTGCTGAGTTAGTTTTTCAATTACCATCTGGTGAGAATTCCAACATTCCCGCATAGCTTATTAGCCTAGACTACTAGCCGCTGTGCGACTGTTTTCAGAGCCCGAGAAATGAGGCCCAAGGCAAAGGCAGG